CCCTCCAGGCCTGAGAGATGGGGACAATGAAGGAGTGGACAAAGGAAGGAGGACAAAGCTCTCAAAAGAGCTTACCATTAGCTTGGACCATCTGTCCTCTGCTAGATAAGGCTAGTCTTGATTCATTCAAGAATTTCTTTCTGCAAATCAGTTTCTATCTCATGGCAATTTAGATGTTTTCCCTGAGCAGCCCTAGGTCTAAAACTTTGCTATAATTTTCTTGAAAGCCTAAGTTTCACTATGCCCACAGTTTTCTTATTGTCTGTCTGTGTTTCCTTTAGTAGATCCTTGTAGAAAGCACCTTGTCTTCCCTCTGCCTTGGCAGGTGCACCAGCTTCACCCGAGCACAATTTGCTGGAAGATTTATCAACTTCGAGACAGGGAAATGGGACGCCCTGGCTCTGAGGTTGCTCAGGCAACTTCAGGTTCAGTCTTCTGGGTCTACATCTTGGACTGGAGGGAGGGAATCCCAGAGTTTGGAGTCCAGCTCTGACTCTTGTAGGCTGAGTGGACCATTTGGAGTCACTTAACGTCTTTGTGCCTCCGTTTCCTCATCTGTAGAATGAAGATGTCAGCATCTTAGGGAGTTGGTGTCTCTCTTACTCAAAGGGAGACTCTGGGGCTTCTTAAACCACAAAGTACTATTCTTGCTGCATTAGGCTGAAGGCGAGACTGGGCTGCTGTTGTGATTATTCTCTGTAAGACTACAAACAGCTGCTCCTCGGGAGAGGTCCTCCCAGCAGCCTCTCTGGGGATGGGAGATGTGATCGTGGTGTGGTCCCAGCTGTTGGGGCAGCAGTGGGATGAAGGCAAGATGGCTGATCTCAGCTAGAGTTGCACCCTGTTTTTAATATCCATTAATGAATGAGTGCTCTGCTCTGCCTGGGTTGCAGGAAGCTGTTTTACCTGCCCCTGCTCTGTCTCTGAAGATCAAAACTGAGGCTGCTTTTGCATCTTCATCTCTGAATCTTACAATGTTTTGCCAGTATCTACTCTATGGTGGCTGCTCAGGGCTCCATGATGAATGAATGAACAAGTGCTAGCCTACGATGAAAAAAAATTGAGATTGCAAAAGTGCCCAAAACACCCCTGGTGATCAGCTCATCCCTACCAGTGGGCAAAATCTGATGTGCTGGTTACCTTATGACAGAAGTGCTGCCACCCTGGTACAGGGGCCGTCAGTCCCTCTTCCCCTAGTGCTTCTTTCAACTGCTGTGTATGGGAGTCTCTGGTTGCATGAGGATTAGGGCAGGAAGCTGGGAGCAAGAGCTAGGGAAGCAGCTTTGAGCCTTGTTTAGCAACTTTCTTGCTGCGGTCGTGATGCTTAACCAGAGTGGCAGGCTCAGCGGTAGAGCTCGACCTGTCACAGGGGACTGGCCCAGTGGCTCTGCTCAACTCTCCTTCCTGTCTCTGGGCTTTCAAGGCAGGCTTAGTCCTGTCCTTCACTAACTCTCTGCCTCTGATTTCTGGTATGAAAACAGCTTGGTCACAGTTCTGATAGGGTTGGGCGTGCTTTCTGATTGGACTTGGTGCATCTTGCTTTCGGTGTCATGTAGATCAGAACCTAATTCAAGAGGATTCAGTTTTGAATCATTTGTCATTCATTCATTTATTCACTCATTCACACACAGTTACCAAATGCCTCATCCTTGCTAGGCCTGTGCTATATTTGGAGCTAAAAGACATAGACCTGTCCCCAAGAAGCTCAAAGTCTGGTGGCAAAAGATTTATAAGATGTGGCATTTTAGGTTTGAGGAACTCACGGCTTGGGGAATCACTCGGAACTTGAAGTGTTTGATTAGAGCAGATGTTTTCATCTGAGCAAGGCTGAAGGCTGCAAGTAGAAGCAATATCAGAGAAATCTGATTTTTCAGGCCTGGAAGCATTTGACTCCTGCTGTCCTAGGCTTGAGCTCTGTTTGTGCCGAGCTTTTCTCATTTCTCCCCTGTAAATCTCCACCTCCTCTCCCACATGCAGCACCCCCACCAGCTCACATCCAATTCAGCGCTCTCTGACTCCCGCAAGGCTAGTCCTGTGCTCCCTATCGTGTATCCTAGCACACACCTCAGTGGCTGGTTAAATCTGCACTGTGTGATAAGTGAGTGTCTACCTTTCCCTACCTGCCACCTCTCTAGCCCCTGGACCCCGGAGAGCCGTACCCAGGTGGGTTTTCTTTATCCATGTGTGTATCTTCAGTGCCTGGCACAGACAGGCATGATACACTTCTGTGTAGTGAGTGAACAGAACGGGGCTCCTGCTGTCCTCCCTGGTGGGGAGATGGCCTCAGTCACATTCTGGGGGTGATGCAGCATGGTAGCTGCTGAGGTCTTTCTCCAGCAGGGTGCTGCTGAGCTCCGGGGCACAGTGGGGGCCCTGAACTTGGGCTTGAGGAAGGGGCTTGTGTGATCACCACAAGGGGACCAGCCCTCAGCCTGTGGCCTCTCTGCTCTCTGGGTATTTTGTTCCATATAGCAGGCTGCCCCTTGTCCTCACACTGCCACTCTGTCCTGTGATCCTGTCTGGAACACCCTTCCTGCCTTCTCTGCTTGGAGAGAGCTGGCTCATCCTTCAAGGTCCAGTGTAGGGATTTTTCTCTTGTGGAACAACTTCTTAACCACCCTGGAGAGAATCTGCCTTTTCAGCACTGAAGGTCCCTGTGGTTGCTTCTGGATTCTGTCTGTCATACTCTGTTTTGAGCATATCCAGGGTAAAATCGAGACGAGTGATGGCGAATCTTTTAGCTGTTTCAGTGATAACACCCCACTGTGGCTCCTGTACTATAGGTTCGCCACCACTGACCTAGACCCTCCCTTCCCCTTCAAGAGCTTGCCAATGGCAGGTACTGATTAAATAAATGGGGACTTGGGGCTGGCGCTTTTTTTGGGTCATGATGATATCAGGTTCCTGAAGTCAGAGAGAGAGGGAGGAGGAGAGCAGGCAGGGCTTGGGCCTTTCCATTGCTCCACTCTCAACTTTCCCCTCAGAGCCCATGATGGTGCCAATAGGGCTGTGGGCTCCTGGGCTCTCTACCTTCATCTGAGGGGGACCCTCCCAGCCCGCCACTGCTGGCAGCCTGGCTCACTGACTTGCCGCATTCCTTAAACCCCAGCGAAGCCCAAGCAAATCCCCGGTCTACACCAGCAAGCAAGGAAAGGAAGAGGCAGTGGGGAAGGCTCCCTCCAGGGCAGCTAGAAGGGTGGGGATTGACCTCTGAGGTCAACACTCTTGTTTTACTGAGATGTTCACACTCTGCGGAGTCTCTGTCATGTTTGGGGCCTTCTGGGCAGACATGAGTTAAGGCCAGGATGGCAGTCATTGGTACCTGTTTTCTCTCCAGGCACCAGCTGCAGAGTAAATATGATAGACCACCTTCCCCTTAGGACTAGACGCTGGGCCCTGACTTCTGCTCAGGTCCCATTCACAGCTCCAGCCCTCCTTGGGCAGACCCAGTGGAATAGGTTCAAGAATGATTGTTAGGAGGCAGCTCCAGGCAGGGCTCGGACTCTCCCAGGGAGGGGCCCGCAGGTAGGGGAGGAGGCAGGGAGGGGAGGGGCAGGCAGACGGAGCTTGGCCCTGAGTTACCCCGTCCTTTCCCTAGGGCTGGGAGCCTTGGGTATCCTGGCCTTGTTAGCGGGATGCACAGGGCTATTAGACACAGGTGGATTAGTGGCTAGCTTGGGGCCAGAAGCTCCCTCAATCCTCTTCCCAAGATTGCCAGGCTGCTGCCTTGCTTTTGGGGCTCCATGCCTGACCCCTCCTCATGCTTTCTCTCTTATACTGCAACACCCAGCCCCTACACCGGGTGACAAAGGGTCAGGGTTAGATGTGACACGAGGCTGTTATTTCCTGGAGTGGATTCCTCTATAGTCACAAGGTCTTTCACTTGTACAGAGTTTCCTGGTTTACACAGACTTCACATATATTGCCCACTCAGCACCTCCGCTCACCCTGTGTGTGCCTGGGGATTGTCACGGATTCACGTTATGCCTTCGCTGTACACGAGGAGAAACTGAGTCTCAGAAAGATTAAAGTCTCAGGGTAGCACAGCTGGCCTTGTAGTGTTTGATTCTAGGGTTTTTGCTCCTGTAATCTGTCCCAAAAACTGTCCCTTTGTCGGCTGCTCCCTCAGAAAAGACCCAGTAACGGCTCTGGCTGGCACTTCTCTCCTCACCCCGTGCCCCAGAGCAGCTGGTGCTCTGGTCCAGGCTGTTCCAGAAGAAAGCAGAAAGCCCCTCCCTCGATCTGCCCTTGCCAGACCTTTTTTTATTACAGGGTCTGGGAAGTCATGGGCAGAGGGTCAGAAGAGGGTCACGTGAGGGCCAGCAGTTCACACCCTTTGCCCCCAGCCGCTCCTTCTTTCCCTTCCACCTCTACTCCTTGCTTCCCTTCCTTTCTGTTTTGTTTTGGGCAAGTGTTGAAACTCAGCCAAGGAGGGAGGATAAAGATTCCGGTCCCACCTCAGACCCAGCTATTCTTTCTTCCCCTCCCTGGACCTCACTTGTCCTGCTTGAAAGGTGGAGTTGATTCTCTGTGCCCTGAAAGAGCAAAGATGTTCTAGGTATTCAGAGGAGGAGAACGAGAGAGGAAAGAATAAAAAATGATCCAGTAGGAGATCTCCACAAACACCATAGGTCATTTTGGAGATCTCTGCAGTTTTCTTTAAAAAGAAGAGGAATCATTTTCCCTAGTGAGTAGCAAACATCCAAGCAGTCCCTGCCTTGAAACAATAATGCCAACCTCTAGCCAAGAGACCAGGAGACCTGTGCAAACAACAAACAGGCAGCATTTTGGAGGGAATCATCAGAAGGGACAGCCCTGGCTTCTGTGGCCGGATTCTTCGGTGGGCGATGAAGGGAGAGAGGAGGCCAGACATGACAGGGGCTGGGTGTTCGGGCAGTTAACTGAATTCTGAACAGACAGCCCCTCGGCTTACTTGAAGGGCCTCCTCCTTGAAGAGTACCCCCTCCCCTAGCCTTAGCAGCTGGGGTCTCCACACTCACCATGGTGGTTCTGTGGCAGTCCAGTTTTCCCATAGCCTGGAGCTGAGATCGGCAACCAAAGGCCAGAGGAGGGCCTCCAGGGACGGGCCGCCCTGGCTAGTAGGGCAGCACTGGCTGGATGCCTAAGTGCGGGGCCAGCCTCGGTCCCTCACAGCCAGCATCTTCTCTCCTCAGCAAGCTGGCCGCCCTGCCGCTGTATTCCAGGAGTGATGTGGGGACTGTGGGGCTGGTCATTAAAACAGTCCTACAAGTGAAGTTGTCAAACTGGAATGATTATGTATCTTGTAACCTGACACCTATCTTAGGGGCGGGAACAACACCTGGAGTCATTCATAAGCCCTTTGGCCTCCTCGGAACAGGTGACACGCCTAAATTGTTACAAACGTGTTCCTGAACAGCTCCCACCCAGCTGGGCGTTGACAGAGGACTCTCTCCTGGTTGCGTGACTTCTCATTGTGTGGGTGCTTTTGTTTGAGGATGCAGAAAATTGGAGGAGTCTGGGGTTGGGACGGCAGAATTTGCCACTTCACAGAATGGGACTGTTGCCATATGTGGAGTAACAGAATTAGAAAATTCATGGAGAAGGAGAGGATTTCTTCCCTTAAGGGCACTTTACCCGCCTCCCTGGACTCCAGAAGCCAAGCTGTCCAGGACAGGACTAATGCACAGTATACCAGCCAGCATCTCCTCCAAGGTCTCATTGCTTGTTACAGTTTTTGAAAATACTGTTGCTGTTGTGCTAGAGCCCAAGGCCTCTCCTCTATAAACTTACTTCTGATTCATGTCCCACTACCTCCTGATCGCTGGAGGTGCCCCAACCAAGAGATGTGCAAGATGAAACCTGGAAATCACAAGACCATAGCGTACTTGTCCACTGCCATTCCTCCATTCCCTGGGTGGTGAAACTGAACTTTAGAGAGGCAAAGCCCAAGGTCACATAGTACGCTAATGTCTGATTCTGAGCAAATCCAGATCTCTCATTTTTCACCCCTGCCTCTCCCAGGAGACCAGCCTAGGTTAGACATGTGTGTCAGCCCATCTGTTGGTAATGTGCTTCTGCATGTCAGCTCTTTAATTCTCACAATAACTCTGTGACGAATATTTGCTTCCACTTAGCTGAGGAAGCCATACCTCACGGAGATGAAGAGGTTGCTTGCAGAGTTGGGATTGAGGTCTTGGTTTCCTTTCACTGGCAGCCTGGGTGTCTAGTCCAGGATGGCATGGCCCGTAACAGACCCCAGCAGTGTCTGAGGAGGAAGAAGAATTCCTTGTGGATGTAATTGATGGCGGCCTGATCTCAGTGAACCAAGGCCAGGTGGCTTCAGGCTCGATCTGAGGTGGACTGGAAGCCTCATGATCATACGTGGCCCCAGCTCTTCCCCCAGGGCCGTGGGCATTATGGTTGCAAGTGTGGGGCAGTGCTGGGAGCCTGTGAGGTCAGAACAGATGACTTCAGAGCACAGGCTCCAAGAAGCCCCTCCCTTTAAAGGGTGACTTCACCAGTGGGGCGGGGAGAGGCCAGTGAGCCACTCTGGGTCAGGCTTTCCCTTACTTTAGTTCCTCTAGGTGCCAGAATAAACATCTGGCCTATAGATTTCCATTTCCTCACCTGGTGCTCAGGTGGATCAGGAAACAGGCAGCTGCCTGGGCAGGATGGCTGCTGGGTGGGGGTGATTGGAAGGATGATTCTCAGCTGTCCTCCCCCTCAGCTCTGGCCTCAGACCCCAGTTGAATGTGGGAACCTGTGGAGAGACCTGGGAAGCAAGCATGTGGGCAGGCTGGGCAGGCTGCTGGGAAACCCAGGGAAAGGGGCTGTAAGATGACAGGTAGAGGGGCTGTGAGGAAAGAGAGCAGAGGCCAGCTTCTCTCAGGTGCCAGGGGCGAGCAGCCTGACCAGAAGCCTCATTTGCCCCCAGGAAACTTCAGCTCCCTCATCCCTAACCTGCACTGCTTCTCTCTCTATTTTACTCACTCTACCCCGTTTTTTCTTCCTCTGTTGCGACCCGCGTAGCTAGTGGAGTCCTGAGAGGAGGTGACAGGAGATTAAGAAAAAACTAGACACATACTAAAAGGAAAGCTGAGACCGGGTGGGACCTGTCCACTATGATGGAGAGGCAATGACAACCCAGCGCAATCTGTATCATGATTTATGTACAGTAAAAAAAACGGGTGGAGGAGCGCACAATGGAGTCAAAAGTGCAAGGTCTCTGTTTTGCTGAGAATACGGAAAGTGAAAACATTTTTAGAGCTATCTGTGCTACAGTAAACAGGGAAGAACACCAAGGCCAGACACCTGCTGCACTGGCCTTGCTCTGGTCTTAGCTTGTTTACATGGCTCGCCTCTGGTGCTCCATGTTCTTGGGGCTGGCCTTGCTCTAGCTCCAAATGTGTGGTCCACCTCCAGCTCGTTGCTCGCCTCATTTCTTCTTCTTTCCTTTGACTCCTTTTTATCTCTTCATCTCTTTTTCCAGCAGCTTTTCCTTTTGCTTTCTTCTGCTGCCGGCAAATTGTCAAGGTCAGTGCAGAGTTATGAATCTCAACTTTCAGAGCCCCACATTTGCATGGCCTTAGGGAAGGTCCCAGAAGTATATCCTCACAGTTGTATGTTATTGTAACTTTTGCAGAAGTTTTTGGTATATTTTTTGTAGGAAGGCTCCTCAAAATATGTAAGCTTCAGGCCTCATTCACATAACCTGAATTGCCCTTGGTGAGAGTATGGGTTCTGGTAGCCTGAAGTCCTGTGTTCTAATCTCAACTACTAATTATTTATGTGACTGTGGACATTTTACTTCATCCTTCTGAGCTCCATATTTCTCATTTATAAAGTAAATAATAAAAGTAATGACCCGGTAAATTGTTATGAAAGTTAAAAGAGCTAATCTGTGTGACGGGTCTGGCACCTAAAAGAGATTTTGTGAGTGGAGCTGTTATTCCTAGTCATTTTTGAAAATGTGTGTTTACTGAGCTCATGATAGCACCCACTTTTGTGCTAAGTGCTGGGGGTTAGGCAAGAAAAGGCATGGACCCTGACTACACATACCTCATAGTCTACTGGAGGAGATGGGGTATAGAGAGCCCTTCCCAGTCCTCCTCAAGGCCCAGGAAGTTTGTATTTGTAATCCTATGAAAAGTTATTGGAATTCTAGTGTGTTAATTCCAATCTACCACTTCCAGTGCAATCCATGGTGAGAATAAAGACACTAAAGCATATTTGTATTATGGGGAGCCAAGGGGTCCTAAATCCGGCCATGATGATGGCTATCTGGAACAAAGGCCTCGACCCAAGGTCAAACCCAGGTTTTATTTATTCGTGAAGAAGGGAGTGGCTTGAGGATGAGTGACGGTGAGAGTGGTGGGAAATATGTGAATGCCATGAGCTGGGCTAGGTAGGAGGCCCGAAATCACCTCTGCCAAATGCAGAGAGAAGGATATGCAGAAAGAGTAATCCACATAACACAAGTAAGATAGTATCTAATGTTTTGGGGTCGGTGCTGCAGCTCTAATATGTAATCTTTGAAGCCCCAGGAAATCATAGCCTCTATTCCCAAGGCTCCATCCCAGCCAGCCGACAGCGTGGAGCACTGACTCACACATCCCGCCTCATCCTGGCTCACTGGAGCAAGCAACAGGGGGTCAGGGAAATACGCCTGCCATCTCCAAAGATTACCATCAGCACCTTGGCTAGACCAGTATGCATTGCTTAAAGCCAATTGACGGGATAAGGAAACGTCCTAGCCAGCTCAGTACATATCAATACGTGGAAATAGGGTCAGGCTCGGCCAAAATGGAGGCAATTGCTCCTCTTTCAAGGCAAGTCGCTTAGGTGGTCCTCTACAATGGGGAACACCCATAAATCATCCTAAGTTTTCATGTTTTCTGTGCTCCCCTTCCTTTCCTCCTTCTCTGCTTTCCTTGCTTCCCTTTGCCTTGATTTTTACCTTAGGATGTTTTTATTCAGACATGTGATTTACAGGACTGTATAATAACTGCCAGCTGTTTCAGATTATGCATTTGATGTTTGTTTTTGAGATAGAATCTTGTGATCCATAACAAGTTTGGCTGGTCTCTAACTTGCTAAGTAGCTCAGGCTGGCCTTGAATTCATGATTCTTCTGCCTCAGGTTCCCAGGAGGCTGGGATTACTGATGTGTACCCACCATGACCAGTTTAATCTTAATATTAGAAGCCATCCACCTTCCCATCCAGATGTGCCTGTCTATCCATCCATCTCTCCACCAGTCTACCCATCCGTCCATCCACTCAATAGGTATTTTCTATGATGCTATCAGACAATGTGGTTAGACACTTGCTGGAGAAAATGAAAAAGCTTCTGCCTTCAGTCTGTGCTTGTACTGCACTTCCCCTGCACCCCTTTTCTGGCCCAGCAAGCCTTGTAGGTCCTCCTGCTCAAGATTTGTCCAAGACCTGTCACCTGGGAGCTTGTTAGAAATGCAGAATCTAGGCTCCCCCACAATCCACAATTGGAATCTGCATGACAAGATCTCTAGGCAAGGAGGCACATGCCCCTTAAAGCTTGAGAACACTGCTCCAGATCTCTTCCCACGCTCAGGAGCAGGTACAGGCTGTCATTTTTGGAGCTGAATTCAGAGTGGAAGCTTAACATAGACGAACCCATAGGAATCCTTCCAGCCAACAGAGCCTGTGGTTCCCTTCTCTGATCCCAGGTACAGTAACTTGAGATCCAGTTCAGAGACAGGCACTTTGATTCAAAGGATTAGGTAGACAGAGGTGCAGCGGGGTGGGCAGGAGCTGACAGTGCCAGGATCTCCCATGCTGAGCAGCTACGGAGAGCAGTGTGCAGAATATAGTGCCTGTCCCATGGGGACAGCAAGCAGTGCTCCACTCCCTGTGAGGGAGTGCATGTGTAGCTGTCAGCTCCCCAGTTTCAGGAGAAGATTCTCACTGCCGAGAGGCTCTTCTCCCAAGACATAATTTAGGCCCAGAGGCTGTCAAACGGAATCTCAAGCCTGCACACCAAAGCAGAATGGAGGACACTGAGAGTGCCAAATCCTGGCTGATCCTCAGTCACTTTCGTGGCCAGGCACTGACCTTCTTCTCATAGCCCCTGCCAGGTAAGCAAAGTCCCCTCCACACATGCAAGACTTAAGGCTGAGGATGAAGATGGGGGAGATAGGCGTGAGCTTGATGGAATGATGGCACATTCCCTTCAAATACACTGCAAACAGTCAACAGCAGCTCACATGTTATGTGTTCCCATGGGGCAGGCTCT